ACACACGCTCTCCAACCCACCCACGCCCGTCGCTCTTACGCCCACCCACGCCCGTCGTTCTCACGCCCACACACGCCCGCCACTCACACCCCCCCACGCCCGTCCCTCAAACCCACCCACGCCCGTCACTCACACCCACCCACGCCCGTCACTCACACCCACCCACGCCCGTCGTTCTTACGCCCACCCACGCCCGTCGCCTCTTACGCCCGCGGCCTAAAGGGGCTTCGCGTGGGTTAATGAATTGTAGCTTCTGATAACAAAGGCTTTGTCAAGACTCGGTGCCGAATGACGTCACGAGATGTGCGTTCGCTGTAGGGGGTGAGGCCGCCAGTGTGGTGTTCGTGGTGTGATGCTTATAACGTATGGTGTGTGTTATAGTATGGTGCATGACTATAATGAACTGAACGTATATCTATAATGAATGGTGGGTTTGTGGTGTATATCGGTTGATGTTTATGGTATAATGTATGCGAATTGATGTATATTCGGGTCGTATGATGCATAAAGACGTAGGACTTATGAAGTATAGTGTATATATAGCGCAGGGCTTCTGGCAAATTTAATGTTTGGTGTTTAGTATAACGTACAACGCGTATGTATAGCATCTGGAATTTATTACGCATAGTATATCAGGTATGCTATGGAATTTGATGTATATAACATGTATAATGCATAGTTTGTACAATCTGTAATATGTAGATTAATACGGTAGGTTTTTCTTTTTAATTTATATGTTTATTGTTATCATTTTATTTCTATTTTTATTTACCTTACTTCATTTTCATTTCATTATCTTATTTTATTTTTCATTTTATTATTTCATTTTTTCGCTTTTTTTACTTATTATAGTCATTGTTGTCATTATCGCCAACTTTACTATTATCATTACCATAATAAGCATCATCATCATCATCATCATCACCATCACCATCATCACCATCATCATCATAACCATCATCATCATCATCATCATCACCATCACCATCATCACCATCATCATCATAACCATCATCATCATAACCATCATCATCATCATCATCATCATCAACCATCATCATCTTTTCTCCAACGTCATTGTTATTATTGCTAATGTTGCCATGATCATTAGCATTTTCATCGTCATTATAATAGCTCTTATTACTGCAATCGTGATCATTTGCATAACTACTATTGTCACGGTCATCATTATCTTAACTGTTATTATCACAACCATAACTTTAATCCTCACAGACATCATTACCACAACAATTATCACCATTACCATAACTACCATAATTATCACCATTACTATCAATACTACAACACTATTATCATCATTATCATAACTACCATTAGCCCACTACTAGCACACCTATTACTAGTCTACTACAACTACAACTACCAGCATGACCATAACTATCGTAAGCTTATCACAACTACAACCATCTTTATTATCATAACTACCATTATCCCGCTGCGGCTACAACCATCTTCATTACTATAATCATCATTAGCCTACAACTACATCTACCACTATTATCATAACTATCATTAGCCCACTACTACAACTCCACCATGACCATAACTACCATTACCCCACTACAACTACAACGACAACAAAAGCCATGTCCATAATTACCATTACCCCATTACAACTACAACTACAACCATTACCATAACTACAATTACCACACTACAACCACAACCATTACCATAACTACCATTACCTCACTACAACTACAACCATTACTCAAACTAACTCATTAAACATTAAACATTACTCATTAACCCACTACAACAACGACCACAACCATTACCATAACTACCATTACCCCACTACAACTACAACCACAACCATTACCATAACTACCATTACCCCACTACAACTACAACCACAACCATTACCATAACTACCATTACCCCACTACAACTACATCCATTGCCAAATACGTCAACCTTTCTCTCTCTGCATCAAATCCTTGTTACGCTAGTCTGCATGAACACGTGCTTGTGCTTGTGTGTTTAGCAAACGCAAATATACAAAGTCAGTATTAGGAACACCCACAGTTTTTTTTCTCTCTCTCTCTTTTTCTTTTCGTCGTCTTCTCTGTTTTGTTTTTGTTTTTTGTTTTCTTTTTTTGTTTGCTTTCTTTTATTTTTTTTTTTCCTTTTTTTTTTCTTTCTCTCTTTTTGGAATTGTGTTACTGACAAGTTTGAGATACATTGTATTTTTGAGGTTATTACTATTACAGTCATCATTATCATTATCTTTATTACTGTTGTTATTGTTATTTTGTTCTTCTTAATTGTTTATGTGTTTGTTGTCGTTGTTAATTTGCTACCATCATTACTATAATCATTTTCTTGTCACCATCAATTTTACTATAAAAAAATACCGTTATAAGCATCATTACATCATCACATCATCATCATCATCATCATCATCATCATCATCAATCACCATCCCCAGAACCGGCCCGCACCTAACCCCACCCCCCTCCTCTTCCCCCCCTAACAG